CCCAAACCGGGCGTTCGATTTAAATATTTTTTTTTTTTTTTTTTTTTTTTTTTTTTGATTTAAAAGAAATATTTTTTATCTGAATTAAAATAAGTTAGTAAATTTAATATAATTTTATGTTTACAGGATGTCTAATTGGGCGAAAAAATTCGGACTCGGAAAAGGGAAAGGACCCCTGATTCGTCCACCTGCAGATCCGGTGGTGGAGACTACTGCGGAACGGGAGGGAAGGACACATAATAGAAATGTGACTAGTTCTAAATGTCGTGGGGAACGCACTGGTGCTTTTGTACCCCCACGTACGATGATTCAGGAGGAGACAGAGACAGAGGCCGAGCAGGAGATGGATGCACCCATGGATGCATATATGCAGCCGCAGGAGTACGAGTACGATCCACAACTACGCTTTCAGCAGAAGTATCAGTTTCCGGTGCTGGATTTTCCATCCGATGACGATTACGAGGATGTTCCGACTCCGACTCCGCCTCCTGTCCCGATGGGTGGTACTTTCGGTGGTTCTAATCCTGCCTCGAGGTCCCGCACCGCTCCGAGAAAAAAACTTCCTTCTCGACCTTGGATGTTGACCGGTGAGACACCCGGTGGACCTAAATACGCTCACTTGATTCCAAGTTTTGGAGCACATATTGCCTACGACATTTGGGAGGGAAAGGTAATACTTATTAATATTAATAAATTTTGTTTATAATATTTACACTTGTTTGTGGTATACTTATATATGAATATATCTTGAACAGGGACGACATATGGTTAAATTACGGTCGCACGCGAAGTGTACTTGGCCGGGCCCCGACGACGATGATTGTGTCTCACTACTTGAGAGTACCGGCTTGTATCACTTGCGTGATTGTTCGCTGCCTCAGCACAATAACCCATTAATAGAGGCTTTTATTGAGAGGTGGCAGCCGGACACCAACAGTTTTCACATGCCATTCGGTGAGATGACAATTACCCTGCACGACGTGCATTTCATCATGGGTTTGCGAGTTAGTGGAACTCGCCCTAACGTCTGGATGGATAAGGCCGACGCGATCCAGCTTGGTGCGAGAGCTTTCGGAGTCGACCCCGCACTTATGGAGCATTGGTGGTATGGTGGCGGACCCCGGTTAGATGATTTGGAGGTGAAATATGGCGACAATTCTACCTTTCCTTCCGCGTATCGAGTACGAGCATATATTGCATACTTGCTCGAAAAGTTGTTGTTCGTGGATAAGAGTGGATCGAAGGTCAGAG